ACATAGAGGTTTGTGTATATATGTCTATATAGATATGTATATGTCTCTATATATTTATACACATGTACATTCACGTGTGCTGCGTTTTTCTATTCGCCACGCGTGGCTTCCAAGATTCGCGCCACAGCGGACGCGTGCTTTTCTCCGGCGAGGACCTCCTGGAGGCGGTGCAGCGGTTCCGGGCCGGGCGCTTCGCCGAGGCCTCGGAGTTGGCGCGGAAGGCCGTGGAGAACTGCCAGGGTGCTCTAGGCGCGGGGATGGGGGGGGGCAGGGGGGCGTGGGTTGGGGTGTTGGGGGGTGTGGGGGAGAAAGGGAAGGGGGGGGGGATCTGGGGGGGTGTTTTTTTTGTTTGTATTTTTTTGGGTGGGGTGGGGGTGAGGGTTGGGGACGGGCGCCTTGCTCTTTTGTTTGGGGGTTTGGGGGGTTGGGGTTCTGGGGGGGGGGGGGGGGTTGGTTGGGTTAGGTGAGGGGAGCGTTCGGGGGGATGGTGCACTTTTGTTATTCTTTTGTGGGGGGGGTGTTTGGGGTTTTGGGCGATGGGTGGTTTCCAGCACCGAAACATGCAACTTCGATGTACCCCAAGTTGGCAAATGGGAGGGGCTATGGTTTGGCACGCCAATGTTGACGGATCGAGCACCTGATGGATTTTTAGCATTGTTTCCCGAAAAGTGATCCGGATTCGGAGGGGCCTTGGAGGCGCGGTGCCCCGGCTGCGACATCCGGGCTATTGCAAAAGCGCAAGTTGACTGTCCAACTTTGGTTGCCCATCATCCCATCGGACACTTGCCCAGGTGGGGACAACCTCCTTCTTGGCTTAAGAACCAGGGCTTGGTGCTCAAGCACATCTAACCCTTCCATATACACATATGCATATACACATGTCCTCACCTCATACACACACACAAAAGAAATACAGACTAAGTGTATGCCGGAATTATGTGACTTGCAACCCAACCTCAATCCAGCTGCACTGCAGGTGCTGAGTCGCCGCCGGTGGCCTGGCTGGTTTGAGGGGTGGTTATTTTAAGAGCTAAGGGATGTAACAAGTAGGAAGTGAGAGAATCAACTCAAGGGTCCACTTAAAGGAGACGACACGCAAAAGGCTTATAGGGGAATGTCTATCTAGTGTTCCGGCCTTTTGTGAGCAACTTGATTTTTTCCCGTGGATTTTTTTCGTTTGGCTGTGACGTCGCATATGGCTGTGTCTTGAAAAGGGACACTAACGATTTATGGTGTCCCTTCGGTTTTTTGCTTAAAACCACCCAAACAAGGGTACCTTTGTCAGAAATGAGGGGTGAATGCAAGAGAACCATCCGAGTTCGTCCGAAGCAACATCTAGAAAATGCTGCTGTCCAGGATGCTTCGGATGAACCATGCTGGCCAAAGCCCATTCTATTTATCAACTTTCCGTGCTGGTGCTCGACTGCAAATTCCACTGCGTTGAATGGGGAGGTGTCGCCCCTTTCGCCCGAAATTGCAACAACCGGACCTATATGAGCAATTAAGCAGCGCCTAGCCGGCTTTTTGAGGCTAAGCAAAGAACCGTTTCACTGCGCAAGTGACATCCAGATTCACCATGACCGTTGGTTGATGATTCCTTTGTGTCGTCTTTCCCCTGGGCTCCCGTCCATTCGTGGCACATGATTTGGGGCCTGTGATTTTAATGAACCTTCAAAGCGCATTTTGGAATCTCAAGGGCTACCCTTTTTTCAACACGCGGGGCAGGGGCGTCCACAAGGGGGGCTCGATAAAAGGAAAGCAGTCTTTTCACCTGATCGTCAGCTTCCAAGAGGGATTTTGAGGGTCTAAATGACAAACAGTTTACCGCAAGAATGTACTAAATATTATTTTGTCGGGGCTAAGTTACTGGTAGTTTAGGTCAAGACTATGACTACCTATGATTTTAAAGCCATTCCCCCGGTCCTTTTCTATTCATCCAAGCCCTGTTCTTTTTGGCCATGTTCCTTCGGTTTCGGGCTGGGGTTGCAAGGAAACCGAGGGCGACGCAGAGGCCGATGCGTGGCGCGCTGCGCCTTGGCAGATGGGATCCAGACGACGGCGCTTCTCTTTGTTGGTCTTCGAGTGCCCGTGTTTTTTTGATTCTTTACCTGGTTTCGGGCAGGCAGTTAAGTTTTCACACCCACCAGTTTTCATCAGTCGTTCGCCCCAGAAGGGTTTGAGGGAAGGACTGAGAGACTGGGGCGGTTCCCCTGCTATTCTGGCCTCCCTACCGGAGGACATCAAAGTGGGCAGGATAACCCCCCCCCCCCGTTCCCGACTAAATCCTCATTGTCCCGGTTTGGGTGGATACCTCCACCACCCCGTTTGGTACGGTTTTACCGTACCCATGTTCTCATTTTCCAACTTTCTGGGTGGAACAACAGCCAACAAAGAAAAGACATGGACACCGGATTTGGACATGAATCAACCTTTGTCAGCAAAGATAGATGCTGGTTTTGGGGTGGTTTGGGACTCCCGTGTTAAATTTGAATCTCCAAGTTTGGTTGGTTGTTTGTTTTTTGTTGGTTGTTTGTGTGCTTGTTTGCTTGCTTGTTTGTTTTCTTGTCTGTTTGTTTGTAAGTGTGTGAATTTGTTATTTGTTCGTTCGTTCGGATTGTTTTAGTAACCTTGCTTGTTTGTTTGTGTTGTTTTGTTCCTTGTTTCCATGGGTGTCCTTTTTAGGTTAGTCTGCTTAGACATAGATGGCACTGGTTTAGATTGGTATGATTTCATTTAGCAGGGCCATCTATTTTGCCAACAGGACGCCTATGCCAACAGCCGTTGCCGAGCCGCCAGGAAAACGACCCAGACACCCCGAACCCGTCCACCGCCAGAGCCCACACCTATGCCACCTCCTCCTTGCTTGTTTGTTTTTGTTGTTTTGTTCCTTGTTTTTGTGTGTGCGTGTTTCTTTCCTTGTTTGCTGTAGGGCTCCATCTCTCCCCACCTCGCCCCACCTCTCGCCGCCATCCCCGTTCCGTCGCCATCCCCGCTCCGAGCCTCCGAGGCCATGGACCGCCTGGCGGGCGCCCACGAGGCCTGCGGGGACGTGGAGCGCGCGGAGGCGCTGTACCTGCGGATGCTGGCCTGGCGCGAGGGCGCCGAGCAGGTGGAGGCCGGATGTGAAGGAAACCCGACGGGCCCAGGAGACCGGGATCACCCGGCAGGGTGGTGGATCGCTTTTCTAGGGATTGATTCCTGGTCCATTCTGTTCGGCCGTCGTTCTTCTCAAGAAACCAGCTGCTTCCCCAAGGGTTTTGGGTGGTTTTGTAGAAAGAAGGATGCATGGAAAGAATGGGGAAGGTACCCCTAAACCTTTGGTGGGGTTTACCCCGCCACTGCTGAAGGGAAGACGGGAATCTCCTCTTTATATGTGGGGGCTCGGCCCTCTTTATGGGTAGTTTGGCCTTTTGTTTTATCACAGTGGGTTCCATTTCTCACAGCCCTGCGCGATGCGGGATGTGGGGGAGAAGGGGTCGGGTCGGGAGTCCATTTCGGGGGCAGCCTTCGGGATCGACCCGGGACCCGTCTTTGCGGGAAGGGTGGGGGAGAAGGAGTCGGTTCATGGCAATGGCAGGAAGGCTTGCAGTTTGGATTGAGCTGCCGACTTGTTTTGGCATGCTCAGAGGATTTGAAAGGGGAACCCCCCCTTTTGTTTGGTAGGGAATCTGGGTGGGGTAGCAAGGAATTGACCCACAGCTATTTGGACCCGAGTGTCTTTGCGTCTTTGTGTGTGCGTGCGTCTGCCCGTGTTAGATGGAGGTGCGAGGAATCCGTCTTGTGGCCAAGGGAACCCGCAGGCGCACCGTCTGCCTGCCTGCCTGCCTGCTTGCCTGCCTGCTTGCCTGCTTGTCTGTTTATTTGTCAATCTGTCTGTTTATTTGCTGGTTCTTTGTTTCTTTGTTTCTGTGTTTCTTTATTTCCTTGTTTCCCTGTGTTTCCTTGATTTCTTTGCTTGCCTCCCTGCCTGCCTGCCTGCCTGCCTGCCTGCCTGCCTGCTTGCTTGCTTGCTTGCTTGCTTGCTTGCTTGCTTGCTTGCTTGCTTGCTTGCTGGTCTGTGCGCTTGCGTGTTTTTGTGTTTGTGTTTGTGTGTGTGTGAGCGCGTGCTGTGTGTTTGCTTGTGTGTGTGTGTGTGTTTGTGCGTGTGATTGTGCGTTCACGTTGTTAGTTTGCCCAGCAAGGTTTATGGTTACTTTGGTTGCGGCACCTCCTCGGGGAAGCCTCTTGCAAGTGACTTCTCCGCTCCCTTGGGAGTGCCTAATGGTAGTATCTCCAGCTCAGCTTCATCAGCGTGCCATCTCAGCATGGCGGCGCCATGCCCTGTGAGGCGGGGAACTGCAAAGTGGGCGAGACCCTCTTCAAGAAGAGCTGTCACTACAGGTCCCTTTGGCTGCAATTTCCTAGGGGCCAGTGGATTTTTACGCCGGCCGACGCGTCATTGCTTTTGGATTGGACGTCCTCGGACCAAAGTTTTGGAAGAATGTGACGCAGAACCGCCCTGGATTTGCAATGAGAGGAACCTCCGTTGAGGAACCATGTTTGGGAACCCCGGGTCGCGGCGGACAACAGGTCTTGTCAATTGCGTCAGACTGAGGTCTGTGGAAGATGCCACTTGGTTCCTCCACACGCTGCGCCCAGACGACGGCCATGCCGGTGCAGAGGCAAAGCGTGAGGGGGAGATTGGATTCCGCCTGTCTTGTCGTTTTTTGTCTCATCTCCCTGCGCAAAATGGTCAACCCCATGTTTTTGTCGAGGGGTCAGTGGGCAGGGTCAGAGTGGCAGGGACCCACGGAGCCAACGTTGGGATGGCAACACTGCGCCAGGGCGGATGTTTTAACGCCTGGTAGCCGTGTTTCTCAATTGCCCAAAGCTGACCTTTGGATCTCTCGTTTGGCAACCATCTGCAAGACAACCCGGAAAAGCGATCGCCTTGGCAGCCAGTCTTTTGGGGGCCCTTCGGGGTCGGTTTTCGCTTTGTAGGGTTCGGGTGAAGAGGTCAAGGTTTGCGAAAGCCGGATTTCGTCAGAGGGAGGTTCAGAAATTCTTGGTGGTCCCAGCCATCCGGTTCCCGAGCTTGTAGTATCTTTTCATTGGTTCACTGTTAGTTTCCATGAAACATTTCAAGTTGTTTCCCACTTTTCGGTAGGGTGAACTAGCGGTAGCTTCCATTTCGCCCACCAGAAGTGATTGGCTTTTGGCAGTGGGGTCACTTTCCTCCAGTTCCAACCCTACGCAGCGAGTCAATCCCAAGCAGCCGTTCGGACTCCGAAGCCTCCGCGGATCCGGCGGCCCAGCGAGCGCCGGGTTTTTGCGGCGGCAGGCGGTGGCCTTGCTGGCGCTGGGGGAGGAAGTGGCGGCCAAGGCCGCCGTGGCCGCCGGAACCGCCCAGACTTGGTTCGACTGGCCAGACACGCGGGGGGGGGGGTGCACCATGGGGCGACAGATCCAGGTGTTCTTCTTTTTTGTTGTTGTTTGCCCTTTGAAGACTTCTTTTGGGGAGTTTTTTTCCCAAAGAGTTTGCCATTTTCAAGAAGACTTGTGTTTGCTCAGCTTGGATTTGTTTTGGGTTTAGGTTCGAATGGTTTGGATTGCTCGGCGGTTTGAAGCCCTGGGTCTTGAAGGGAAATGGGATGCTGCGAGGACTCGCCATGAACAACCCGTCTTGAACCCGAAGCGATTTGGAAGATGCAACGCGATTTGGTGAGAGGCAGCCTCCCAATCCTAGCTTCTCAAGGTCCGACCCAAGCAGGAAGCAGAAGGTTGCGGTTTCGAGAAGCTTGGAGACGGGAGTTCAGGTTTCAAGGCTAGCCGTAGTGTTTTGGTAGGATTTCCTTGTGAACCATGCGGGGTGCATGCCTTTTTTTCATGGGAAAAAATAATGTTAGCTGGCAGGTGCCGGCAGACAAGGCATGCCTTCATTTCTCACCGAAAAGAAGTTGCTGGCGCGAAGGAGCAATTTCTCTCAAGTGAAGGTCCTTCCCTTCAACATCCCCCATTGATCATTATCACCATGCTCGCTATTACGATGTGAGCTGTTGAACAACCCGCCCCAGCGGTCCATCTTGCGCTCCGGTGCCTTGTTTTTCGTGGTTTTCTTTCAGAGAACATTGAGCTGTGAAAATAGGTATCTTTTTTTCTGGTTCTTTCAGCCAAGCCTTCGATTGGTGGTGGGTTTGGTTGCGTCTTCCTATCCCAACCCCCAGGATTTGTGACGGTCCAAGCTCATCCGGCGGGCCTTCGCTCAGGTTTGGACCTTGGCACTGCGGGCCTCTCAAAGAGAGCAGCTCACGCAGTGCGGCGCTGTGGAACTCATGGCCAAGGTGCCTGGGGAGCGTTTGTTTTTGCGTTTTTTTTTTGTGTTTTTCTTCTTCTTCTTCTTTTTTCTTCGCATGTTCGGATCTGGGAGGGTCGAAGGTCTCTTTTGAGCGTCCGGTTCAGCTGCTTGATACCCTTCTCCTGTATTTCCATTTATTTCCCCTTGTTGGTTTGAAGGGAATTTATCACTACTTTTTCCAGGGGGCTCTTTCCACGCAAATGGAAGCCAATGAGTCAAATGTATACACATGGTACATCTGTTGTTTGGGTTCACCCGTGGCAAGCTCAGATTTAAGTACACCTGGAGTCTCCATGACCCTTAAAAAATGGTTGGTCATTTCCCAGAATAATGGTTGGTCATTGGCCCATTTTTGATTCGGGTCACAAGGAGACTCTAGGCATCCGTAGCCGTGGAACCTCCGGCGTCCGGTGCCCCCGAGCCGCTCGAGGCCTTGGCTTTCCACCCGGGGCCTGAGCTGCAAGCCGCGGGCTGCGGGGTGCTGCGGCTCCTGTGCAGCGGCCATAGGCCGGCGGAGTCGGCGGAGTCGGCGGATTCGGCCGGCGGAGGAGGGCGGAGGGGGAGGAAAACGCGGGAGGAACCAAATTGGGCGAAAAACTGGGTGTTGAGGAGCCAAATTGGAGGAAAATGGGAGGAACAGGTTTTGGGAGGAGCCAAACTAGAGGAAAAATGGGAGGAACAGGTTTTGGGAGACCACCTCCGTTACCCATACAAACAACAACCTTTGGGTGGCTCGTCTCTTTTTGGGGGGTCCCCTTTTTCATGCGTTGGAAATGGAAACCGAATGACCACCGAAATCGACTTTTGGAGGGTCGGAAAAAAGACGAGCCACCAACCAGCCTACTATGCCAACCAACCGACCGATCAACCAACCAGCCTACCTACCTACCTACGAACCTACCAGCCTAACAACCAACCAACCAAACAACCAACCAACCAACCAACCAACCAACCAACCAACCAACCAGCCTACCAACCCACCAACCCACCAACCCACCAACCCACCAACCCACCAACCCACTAACCTACCTACCTACCTACCAACCACCGGGCGCACCGCACGGTGTCGCAGGTTAGCGGCCCAGAACCGGCGCATGCTGATCTCGCGCCTCGGGGGCGCGGAGTCCGTGACCAATGCCATGCGGGCGCACCCCCAGGACATGGAGGCGTTGATGCGACGGAAAGGGAGTAGCCAAGAAAGTCAAGGCATGCCGATCATTTATCTAGGTCCCCCAGTAGTGCCCCTTTTTGGGTTCCCCTACTAAAATAGATTACAGAAACCAGGGTTCCCTTCTGCAGGAGGACCTTGAAACAGGTGCCCTCAGGAAAGACATAAACAAGACAGTCGATTGGTCATTTTCGCAGAAGGGTTTCAACAAAGGCCATTTGTGGCAGTTTTTGCAGTTTGTCCAGACCTATTTGACACCCAGTTGCTGTCCCGGCCGGGTCACCCCCGAAATACCTCGGCATGTCCCTGTGTTACAGGCTGAATGCTATGTCGGACTGTTGGGTGCTCAGCCCCTAGACATCTACATAGCATGTTGAGCATGCATTGGGCGTATTTGTTTGGATGCTGTTGCCAAGGGCAAGTTCGAACGACTGATATAAGTTTGCATCCATTTGCCTGTGCTATGATTGCTAGTCTAGTCTGGATGTTGCTGCAAAATTGCAACAATGCAGCGTGGTCGCAGCAACTTAGGTAATCGTGAGAGTAAGGGGATGAGGCCGGCTTAAATGCTTTCTCGGAGAAACCGGAAGTTCGCAGAAATAGGTTCTTTACATGAGAAGCTGGCTGCCTGGCTTGTTTGAATTGTGACCTTCTCAGAATGCTGAAACGCGTCTACAAGGCGTATTCGCAAACTAGCTAAAGTTATCCACACGCTGTCTATGCTTAATCAGCACACAATGTAATACAACTTCTCGGCTCCTTGTAGCCATAATTTGCGTTTTTTTTTTTTGTTTTTTTTTTTCTCCTCCGTAGGTGAACACCTTAAACTAAGTTTGACTATGCTTTCATACTTCTGGTTTCACTAAATGAATTCTGAATTACACTCACCAGATCACATTTGCCAACAAACTCTGACCCATGGAAGTGGTATACTAGCAAAAGGTAACTGGTATACAGCATATGGGGGAAAATCAGACCATTTTGGCACAACAATTCGGCATAATCATGCCATGTACGTGTTTACCATAAACCAAGAATTAGCCATAAAACCATGCGCATTTCAGTGCCCAGTGTTTCTCAGATGCTTCACATGTGTTTCTAGCAAACACATGAGAAGCATGTGAGGAGCACAGAGCCATTATCCGCAGACTCATGCACATCCAGTATCATTGCTACACACATGAGGGTTGGTAAGTTGCCTGCATAGCTTCCACACATGTGCGTTGATTAAGTGCTTGATATGGCTACAATACAGTGAGCATTGGGTGGGTAGGCACTATGGTTGTGACACACATGTGGTGCGTTGTTTGCCCTCATTGGTTACATGTGTGCTTCTGTGTGTGCATGTTCATATTACTGAGAAGATTGACATGTGCTTCTGACATGAAACTCCTGTGCTGAAGAGCTGAGCACAGGAGTGGCATGTCCAAAGCACATGTTACATGCCAACATGGAACATGCCCTGGCGCAAGCAGCAGCTGCAGCGGCTTGCCCTGCAGCATGAGGAGGTCTGCCTGGCGCATTTGCGAGTACAGCTGCATGGTTCAGAGCGCATGGCTTCTTATAATTATTAGACACCTCCAAAGGTTGTGCCAGGAAGGGCCACAGTTTTGCTATTTAAGCTTTGATGACACATTGGGGGAGTAGCAGGGCCACATGGAAAGGCATGGCATTGAAAGGGGGCCAATGCCACGCCAGGCAAGGCAGAGCTACTGCCTGCGCAGTGCTGAACTCAGAGAAATCATCAACTGTGAGTTTGCTTGTTGGTGCAGTGGTCCAGTAAGCCACTGGAAAACTTTACCACTGGACCACTGGACCATCTTGCTACCCAGTAGGCACTGTTGCATAACCCTAGTGTCGATGGGGCCTGAAATGGCTTGATCTTGAGGGTCCAAGGGTCTTGAGGAGTCGTGACCCTTACAGGATCTGCCAGAACAGGAAAACCAAGGGGAAGCCAACACCAACCTCCTCTTTTTAGGGAGGGGGCACTGTGATTTGCTAGCAATCACATGGCGTGGGTCAAAACCCAGAGCACCACTTTTATTGGGCAGCACCCCTTTGCTTGGTCCACTTTGAGAGAGCTTGCGGGGAGTCAGAGGGGTATGAGGATCATTGGACCCTCCATTAGGGTGTTGGGGGTGTCTGAATCCATCATTCTTGTCCCAAACCTCATTTACTGACCCCAACTCCTGGCACTTTGTGAAGGCCCTTATATTTTGGGTCTCGGGCTCCTAGTAGGTATCCAATATGTTCTTTTGGTTTTCATATTGGGTGGCATGCCCTTGGACACCTGCCCTTACCATGGCTGAAGTTTGCTTCAAGTATCACGTGCGAGGAGAAAACAGGGCGCTCTGCACTGGGCTGAAAGTGGCAATATATGTAAACCACAGGGTCAAGTAAACCAGCTTCAACAATTTCCTCAGACTCAGCAAGCTCATGGAGCATCCTGGGCCAGCGTTGGCTGCTCATGGGTAGTGGTGCCCCCCTTCCCCCGGCCCAGGCCTCTGCATGGACTATGGCAAGCTGACCAAACCTCAGAGTGCATGCACGCACAAGATGAGTCTTGGTCACAGTGAGGGTGTGTTTCTGTAGCCAGCATGGACCCTACCTGTAAGGAAACACTTCTTTGCTTAATTAATGAGTGGGGCGCACTTTCTGTGACGTAATCGTTTTGCAATAGCAGCGTGTCATAAAGAGTGTCCAGGCAATGAGAGGGCAGCAGCATGCCAGCATGACTGACAATTCAAACATGACGAAGCCCGGGCGGGCCTCCTCATGCTTGCATTGCGCAATCATGTTTGAGTGCATGGCTGACACTATATGACTCCTATGCACCACAGCTATGTGCTTGAGTCTGAGTGGTAGACTTGTTGAAAGCAAATAGCTTGTGGCATAATGCCAGTGTATGACAGACATGTCAGACACGTGTGAGAACGTGTGGGTAACATATGCAAAAGTATGAGAAATGTGTGAGAAAGTATGTAGCATATTTGATGACACATATGAGAGACGCATGAGACACATCTGAGAAACATATGATAGCAACTATGAGACGCGCATGAGAAAATATGACAAACTGTGAGAAATATGAGAAATATGAGAAACTATGAGAAGTATGAGAACATATGATAAATCTGAGAAAATATGAGAAGCTATGAGAAATATGAGAAAATATGAGAAACTATGAGAAATATGAGAAACTATGAGAAACTATGGGATGTATGAGAAAATATGATACAATATGAGAAATATGAGAAACTATGATAAATATGATAAACTATGAGACATATGAACAATATGAGAAACTATGACAGACATATGAGAGACATGTACATGTGTTAGACACATACAAAAGTGCGGGGGACATGAGGTGCCTGTCAGAGCACGTTGCATAAGTGCGAGACATTATGAGGAGCAGTGCATGCATGAGATAAGCATGCATATCGTGTGGCTGCTTTATGCCCCCCTTTGGCTTGCGATATGTTCATCACGTACTTCTCACTTGACAGTGTCACTATTGAACACGGTGTTTGCGCTGCACTGCAAAGCTCATGAGGGGACCTGACAAGAGATGCAACTATGGGAGGTGTAGCATCTCACACTTGCATTTCTTCTCACTTTTCCCTTATATGGCAGCGGCCCTTCCCTGTGCGCATCGGTTCCGCTTTCCAAGGCATAGCTGAGGAGCACAGCGAGATGTTCTGAGAGGCTGGGGTGGGCAGCATGCAGGTCTAGTGCATGATAGCATGCGCACTTGAAGAGAGTTGAGGTGCAGCCTGCAACTAAATTGCCTGCTATTTGGCCCATGCTGCAGCAGCTCTTTTTTTCTGCAAGGCACTCATCAGCAAACAGCAGGCACTCAGCAGGCACAGCAGCTCAGCACATCTACCCCCCTCCCGACAGCCATGGTTGTTTGCCTTTTGCCGGGGAGAATCTCCTTGGAGTGCCTGGAGCTGGCGCAGCGGGAGAACGTTGAGCCTCCCTGTGAGCCAGGACCCTGCCCTTGTCCTGCCCAAACTGCACCCAAGGCTTGGCTAGTGTGTGATTCTGTTACATACAGGGCGCCCTTTGTGCTTTGCAGTCTCCCCTGTGGGTTGCCCGAAGGACGCCTGCCGGTGAGGGTGACGCCTGACTTTATCCCGGTGCTGCTGAAGCCAGTACCAGCTGGGCGACTTCAAGCTGTCACCTGGCGACAGGGGCTGTTGACTTTTGAGCCAGCCCTCCTTGCCTGACACTCAAACCCTGTCCTATGGCTGAGGAAGAAGTCATCCACAGGCAGCTCCAGGAGTGGTTGGAGGAGAACCGGAGAGAGGTGATGGAGGCTTTTGAGCAAGAGAACAGTCCAATTGAGCCAGCCTCCGCCCCAGTGCTTCCAACCAAGGATCTAGTGGATCCAGTGGATCTAGCGGACACAGTCAGGGACTTCCATCCACAGGATCCAGCCACCCCAGAGCCAGAGGATCCAGATCCAGCCACCCCAGATGGAGGATCCAGCCACCCCAGATCCAGTGGATCTAGTTGATCCAGGCAGTGATGATGATGATGATGATGCCACTTCAAGGGCAGCACCAAAGATAAGACCCCAGCCCAAGCCCATGCCAAAGCCACACAAAGTCAAGGCTGGGGGGTCCAGAAAATAAGCATATTGCTCTGCGAGGTGAGTGTGGCCGCCAAATCCCTGATGCGCAGGTCTATTCAGCTGGTCTAGCTCAGCTCTCAAACAAGAAGACCTATGCCATGTTTGATCTGGTGATCCCGCTGCATGCCTTCCACGATCCGGCGAGGGACACCAGGCACATGGGCACGAACCCCGTCATTCAGCTGAGGATTGCCCAGCATCCCAAGTTTGCTGTCATGCTGCCCCCTGGCTTCAGAGCTTGCTGGCGCGGGTTTCAGTCAGACGAACCTTTGTCAAACTTACTTGGCGCTAACTGAGGAGGGGCCTTTTTTGCTGGCTCCAGTGGCTCAAGGCGATCAAGACGCCACAGACCTTCAGCC